CTGACTGCGAAAAGAGGCGAACGTAATGCAAATGGAAATGGAAATGGTTGGCTGCTCCACGGATATAGATACGCAGATACTTCTGTGCCAGGTGACAGCAAACTAGCATTACTCGCACCGCATCTGGCCAGTCAGCAACTATTTCCTATCTGGCAAAAAATGTGTCCTTGTTCCCACAGTAAAATAACTGACAAACGGCGACCTGGTTGGTCGTATTGTATCTGTTCAAGGCAGTGATGTTTCTAGATGGGTGTATATAGATGCTTGTTATCACTACTTTCTACCCCAAATGGGTGTAAGTAAAAAAAAATGTTGATAACAATAATGTTATAGTAAATAAAAGAACGAAAAATATGTTACATACAGAAAAAATACTTGAATTTTGCCAAGTATCTCTAATTTACTTATTGCTTTTGAAACTTCTTATAATTGTTATTTACAACCGGTAAAATTACAATTTAATATTGCAAAATTACTTATTAATCATATAAAAGATTATAGGACCACTTTATACCTTCATTTGATAACCTTGTAAGTTAGAAACCTTCTCATTACTGCCTCCCTCTTGTCAGAGCATTTATCCATTTCGGGGATGTTTCACTGTGGTACCTGTCCCACACAAAAGAGCCTCGCTTATCGAGACCAGCATACTCACCTGTTTCCTGGGGAGCTGCACACCATTTTCCCACAGATCTGCGACACTTTCGCTCAAATGAAACTGTCAGCAAACGGCACCAATTCTATAAAATGCAACGGGACAATTTGAGCAGACACGACATCATTATTCAGGTGCAAGTGCTATTGGTGCTCCCCCACTCGAGGGGGTGGTTGGGTGTGAAACGTTGGCCACATTTGCAAGGCCGATTGGCAGGTTGTTGTTGGTCGGTCTATCGTGGCCCCCACAATGTCGTCCATCAAATTTATAACCGGAGAAGTCGAGGAAGCTGCTGAAGCGACTCCGAGATGGACGGGGCCAAGACCATAACTCATCCACCAGTAGCCCAGTAGCACCACTGACATTTATGAGCCACCGAAAGCGGACCCATAACTGGGCATACTCGTACATTGCCAATTTCGAACTTTAACTACACTGAGAAAAAATCCGAAAGCTGACACAAAATGACAACAAATCATTAAAGCCGTATTTGAAAGTAAGCGCATTCTTGTTATTTAAATAAGACGTTATTTTAAAACAAGTTTCCTTAATGACGTTCGACTTAATCTTAATTGAAGCATTTTAACTCTATAAATATTTATTTTTACGGGCGAAGATTGACCAAATATTTTGAATGTTTCATTGCAACACTTTTTTTGTTTGGGGGTCATCAATTAATTACTTCTTAATATTGCATGAAATTAAAAACGAAGTGTTATAAATAATGAAACGTAAAACGTTTAAAAACCAAGTATAAATTTGTCTAATTTAAAAATATTTAATCTTAACATTTATCACAAACTGGCATTGTCTTTTGACTTTTCACCTCCTCTTTGAAGATCTTTTAGGAACTAGTTTTCTTGAATTAATGAAGCTAAATAAAAACTCGATTCATTTTTGGGTGGAGCTTTTTTAATTTTAAATTGATTGTTTCTTTATTATTGAAGCCATATTATTAAGAAGTTAATAAAAAAAGCAATTAATGGTATGATTAGTTTATTTAGGAAATAATGAGGAGATGTTGCTAAATAACTAAGACTTTTAGAGAGAAATATGATTGTAGATTTATCTTAAGCTTGGCTTAAAAAAATATATATATATTTAAAATACATTTTTATCTTTGGATTTTCTCACTGTGTCTGCTCTTTGAGCCCTGGCATTTGCGATTTGGTGGCAAGCTGGTGGAAATTGTGGAGCTCTGTTGGCCACATTGTCTCTTTGGGCCAGTTGCTGTTAATGTGGCACGAAGTCGCCAAACTGCTCCCTCTGAAAACTGCTAAATGTCAGGCCCCCTGCCCCTCCAACTGACCTTCCCCACGCGGACTTCTTCTTTATTTCCCATGTCTGCTGTGACATTTGCCCATTCGGAATCCAACGAGGGTACGGCTTCCCCCGAAAAACCCCCCCCTATAGCCCCTTGCCCAATTTGCCAATTTGCGTGGCTCTACTCGTCGATCGAATGCATAATTAAAATCGCATCGAATCGTCGATTTCTTCGTTGGCACTGTAATTTGATTCCGAGCTTTTCTTTAATTCAGTGACTTAATGGACCTCGTTAGACGCGCCTCGCCATAGCCACTTAATCATCATCATTGGCTTTAATATCATCATCAGCAGCACAAACTTTGCCCTAACCACCGAATGAGGTCTCTCCACTTTGCAGTTACTGAAAAAAAGACAGAGAAAAATAGAACCGAGTGGGAGAATCATGGTCTCGGGCTGCCAAGTTTGCTCAAATTATGCAAACAATTTGGTTAAGTGTAATTGAGTTGGCCAGGCCAAGAGCGCGTGGCAGTTTCCAGGCCACATGTTGCAGTTGCTCCAAGAGATTGGACCCCGAACTGAAGTCCAAGTCGGGGGTAATATGATTTGTCTGCTAGCAAAAGTTCTACTCACAGACGAACGACATCGGGGCATAAACTTTTCAATTCCATAAGCGTTAATTTGATTGCCACAACTTTGTCTAACCCCACGACCCCAACCCAGAACGAACACTGGCGAAAAACTTTAAAAGAATTATATTTCGAAAGTTAAATCAAACGGAAGAGTAACAGAAAACCCTTGCGACTTGTTAAAATACTTTAAAATCAAGCGATCTCATAAGAAACTTGTTTGCCAACTAATGATACATTTATTACGAAACAGCTGAACAATATACGAGTTCTGTAATACTTAACCCAACAAACTAAGAGTCTCTATAAGAAAAATTGATGCAGCATTATTAAATATAAATAAAAAAGTAAACGTGGTACAACTGAAATCTCCGGTAATAGAAATTTATATATTTTTAGACAGCATTTCAAAATATTTAACATCGCTAAAACTTTCTCTCTTTACTTGTAAATAAAATTAAAAGTTGTTAAATTTAAATGGAGTCTTAAGAAATAATAATAATAAAAAAACTGGGACTACTGGTAATTTTAATTAATATATTTCATATGGTAAGATTGGGAACTTGTATGAGTAAGTTGTGAAGTTTGATTGATGCTTTAAAATATAGTGAAACATTCCATTTATATTTACAATTTAATAAATGGCTTACTTCTTGATTATTATTTTCTGTTCCGGAAAAGTGGAATGCGCATTAAATATTCATTCGCAGGATGGAAGGACTCGGTGGGAGTAATTCAAGTGCATTCAGCGAGTTTGATAATTAGTAATGAATGACAAATGTTCACAGCTCATCCCCAACCCCCTTAACACCCGGCTGGCCCCCCTTTAACCCATGGCAATGCCAAACAGATGCCGTCATGAAGCGTGTGCACACATAAATTTTACAATTCACCTTGAAATGTAAGCATAAACGATGTACCAGATGGAAATCGCAATATCAAACCGGTTCAAAGCCTACGGTGAACATCATAAAAACGAAAGATGAGCTGGAAAAAAAATAGAAAAAAAAACCAAACAAGGAAGTGGGCCAATGGCAACCTCCTTGTCCTCACTTTCATTGCATTCCCCACCTGGATTTGTATATGGATTGGTCCGGGAAGCGACTTTCGATTTCGCATCTGTCTCTATTATTGCCAACCAGTTGTCATTGCCGGACTAATTAACAAACAAATACTGATCGAATGGGTTTAAAGCCGAAAACCGAATCACGCGAGCGGAGAGCAACGAACAGGAACGTGGCTAAATTATAAATTTCATAAATTAGCACATCTAACTCGTAAGTTAATTGTACCTATTGAACCCGCTCGCCAATTGTGTTTTTAAAAAATACGCATACGCATTAATCATCCAAACCAGACTCTAATTGGTGAAGTGTTTCCAATTAGATAAGCAATATCAACTAATGGGAGTCGCTAAACAAGGTTTGTGTGCGGGATAAGTAGGGGCACTAAAAACAGGGATTTATTCGTAAGGGAAATTTTGTGTCCTTAAGCCTTACAAATATATCTTCCGGAAGATAAGGGGTTTCGTTCGTGCAAAATAATAGTATATGCTTAATTCTCCATAATAAAATAATGTAAAATTAAAATATACATTTTCTAGTTCGAAATATTTGTGCTACCTTTTTCGCTATTTAAAACGTGTTCCTTTACTTCCCTTTAAAAGGAAATTATCCTTTTCTTAAACCAATTTTAAACCACTTCCAGTACTATGTTTTCCGCCAGTAGTTTCCAAAATATTTTTACTAATAAAATTTCCATTAAATTTTACTATATTAAAACTTTTTTTGTATCTACACAATGATTGTAATCATTTGAGGGCTAATTTTTTATCGAAAGACATCCTTATTTAAAAGGTTGGCAATGTATCCGGCGAACTAGTTCTTCACCTGTTCCAGGACTGGTTCCATTCCCATTTAGGGGTTGAATTCAATCGTTTTCCAGCGAAAAGAAGCACCACAACAGAGAGCGAAGAGATGAAATTGAAGATGCAGTGGCAAAGAAACACAACCAAAACAAATGCCGACAATTGACTACGTGACTGCGGCAGTTTCCTCCTTTTTGCCCCCCGTCCATCCAGTCCCCATTATATAAACACACCCAGACCGGCGTAAAAATAATATATATGTCTATGTCCGCACAGACTTTTTTCGAGTCCAGATATTTAGAGGCTTATCGCCAGCGGAGAGTAGAAAAGCATCTGTAGGAAATGTGGAATATGTGGGGGCATCGAGCGGTCAATTGAAACGCCGACCATGTGGTGACAACAAGTGCATACACACACAAAATCAGTTCAGTTTTTGTCACAGCCCGAGCATTTCCCTCTAATCAAACTCGAATATTCAATTTAGGTGGCCCACATTCTCCCTTAATTGTTATCAGTGCACGACGGAAGCCGACAGGAACACGTCAGAAGTTCTAGAATTTGTATCTGAGGGGTCTCTTCTACTTACTCTGATATTTTCAGTGAACTTGTTGCTGGATTTCGATGGATATCAATGAATCTGGCCGCCTTCTTTGTTTACAATTCTTAGGGAACACCTCGATTGCATCGCCCACCCGCACTTTGTATCTCACAGATACATTTCCACTTTTGACTGGGAACGGAACAGTCAAAGAACACAATAAACGTTTCTTTTGCGTATTTTTCCTTAGAAACGTTTTCAGGAGTGATTTCTCTTGTCGCGAGGACAGGTCCCTCTCTTAATTGTTTTTATATTACAGTAAACTATAATTTACTTCGCGTCCGAACGCTGAGAAATGCCGAATGGAACTGATGTTGTTTTGTTGTCTTTTACGTATTTGTCTTCACGTACTTACTACGTTTCGGTCTTTACGTGATTACTACGTACTAAATAGTACCACTTACCGCCAATAGATGGCGCCATTTTAGAAAATGTTACTATAATTATTTTGAGAGTCTGTTAAGTATGAGCTGATCGTTAACGTTTTGGCGGGGAATTTGAAATATTTAAGAAATAATGGACTGTTTCATAGTGTAAATTTATAAACTAAAGTGAATTCAGCAGATATACATGTTAGGCCTTTTTCTAAAACACCAAAACATCTATTTTAAATTGTGATTTTGTCAATCAAATATTATGATATTACTGAATTCTTTATTTTACTTAAGACTGCCGTTCTGGGTATCAAACTGAAATCTGAAAACCAAGCACCCTTTTTCTATTTAAACATTTTTTTATTAAAATAAAAATCGCAATAGTTAGTTTCAACAAAATTTGGCATCTTTTTTATTCGCGTTTAGCAAAAATAAAGCTTTTCCTTCGTCACCTACAAATGGTAAATAAATACATGGATTCAGTGTTGGTTTTTGTTTTTGATGGACCCGACAAGTGTCTGGTCAGGAATATTTATAGGATCTCTCCATTGGGACGTCTTGGGGAAGTCACCTAATCCTCTTTTACAGTGAAGGAGTGCGTGAGGCCCTCATAGGGATACTTTCCGCCCAGGATGTACTTGTACTCTCCGGAGTGCCGAATGCGATATTCCCCGGGAAGCGTTTGCGGACTGATGTTCCAATAGATGTCCATTTCGCTGAAGCCCAGGATCGTGTTGGTGCGGTGCCAGACCATCCTTAAAGAAAATAAATAAAGTTAATAGCTATTTTTATCACTGTAATCCTTATTACTCACTTCGTTTCCCAACTGGCATCCGTGTAGGCCACCTTCCAGCGGTCCTCATTAATCTTTCGCTCGACGGTGAAGTAAGTTTTCTCGGTGAAGAGGTTGTTTCGCGGATTTCCGGATATGTAGGTGACCTTCACGGTCTCATTAATGCCATACTCCTTGTTGGGCTGTGACTTGACGTAGCCAAAGTCCGTGTTTATGGGGTGTCCATCGAAGAGCACTCCGGTGTTTAGGGACAGCATCACATCGTTCATGTAGGGCGGACTTGGGCCCGCATCTACGGTCTCATTCCGCATCATTGCCTTGGTCAGTCGCTCGAACACGTCCATGTAAATGGAATGGGTATGGGGACCGAAGATCGTGGAGGCAGCCTCGTAACGCTGGGCCTGGTACTCCTCCGGGGTCACCGTATAACTGGTGTATATATTGGTCAGTCCAGCGATGATCACCTCGGTATCGATTCCTCCGGCGGCGGAGGCTGCTGCACGGATCTGATTCCGGAGTCGTCGTCCTGCCATCGTTGTAAATTCACACGGAACGGCTGCAATTATCACATCTCCAATTTTAAGCAGCTGATCCGAGACAATCTTTGGCTGCCACTCATAGGGGAAGGTGGCCTAAAATGGGAATTAGGTTAAGGTTAAATATGCTTGCTAAACACTCAGGAAAATAAAAATATACAAAGTACATTCTAAGATTTCCGAATAATGACTGGTAAAAATAAATGCACTTTAATTCGTTTTAGGTAAATTGCTTTAGTTAAATAATAAGCACAAGCCATTAGGTGTGCTAACGACATCATAAAAATGGAAACTTTCAATTAATTCCAGCTTATATCTTAGTATAATTTATTAATAAACTGAATATGATAAAAATACTTTTTGTAATAATATATTTGATATGTAATCATTTTAGGATTATTATATTGGTGAACTATTCATCTAAAAATCCATAAAAAACTATTAAAATTTGTACGCATTCAAAAAACATACAATTCGAAAATAATTTTGTGTTGCATACTTCTAGGCACCATAGAAAGTACATGAAAAATCTGTTATATTTTTATAAGAAAATCTGGAATTCTTAATTTGTAGTTCTTTGATGTACTCACCCTGCCGGTGGCCAAAAGAATCGGTTTGGGCTCATGACACTTGATGTCCTCCTGCGTGGGAGCAGCAATAAAGTCGCGCACAAAGTTCCACATGGCATTGTCCGTGGTGGTGCCCTGTTCGAAGCTGAAGGCTCCTGGTCCATCGGTGGTACCAGCAGCGAAACTATAACCCATGGCAGGCTGACAACCCCGCACCTTGTCGATCTTCCTGCTCAGTGGGTTGTAGGTACTTCCATTGTAATTTGGCATATCCACAAACTGGTGAATGAACCTCACATCTCCAGTCACCTCCCGAGCAGTAGATTCCTGACTCTGCTCATTGAGTAATCCCAGAGCGGCATCCGACAATCTTTGACCCAAAATCTGGGTGCTCTCGAACATATCCTTTCCAGGTCCAGAGGCAAAACAATCTCCCTCGCCAGATGGACAACGGGAAGACAACAGATCGCATTCATTGCCAGAAATCGAACACTTGGGACCCATTATATTGGGGGAAACATCTCCAAGATTGGACGAACAGAAGGCACCCACAAATTTACCCTTTCCGGGCATCTTATTCGGATTGTACTCCTTCTCGAGGAGAAGGGCAGCATAGCCCACATTGTCGCTGGTCACCAGTCGGTTGGTATTGTTCATAGAAGTTGCATGGACTGCATACCAGTTAAAAGCTCCCAACAGATTGTTCTCCAGATCCACAAATCTCAACTGGGTCAATGTCTTATCCGTATCGTGTTCGTATTGGGCACGCTCCTCGGCGGGATTTCTTAGGTAGGATGAGGGTGAACGATTGATGTTGACATTCAGCACTGTGGTTTTGGCCAGGAAGATGCGACCATCTACTAGGTTGTCTGTTGCCCGTTTAATGGCCTGCAAGAATATGAATTAAAAACGTTTATTTATTAAATATAATATATAATATAATATAATATATTATATAATAAATAAAATATAAACTCACCAAGTAAAGTCCCTGAGCCATGACCTCAAAAGTTTGGGGAACAAAGCCGAGGATGGAGATATCGTAGAGCAGGTGCATCAGGAATCCTCCAGGTGCTCCGTGGGTGTGGGTACCACTCAGGGCCACATTGTCCGTATGATAAAGATTTCCATAGCGTGTCTGCAGACGCTTTATCACCTCCCTCTTCAATCCGAAGCCCATCATTCCGGCATCCGCACTTACGAAGGCCACTCGATTGCCCTTTTCGTCCTCCACCACGAAAGCACGGGCAAAGACTCGGGTGTGGATGCCACGACCCACCTGCTTGATGTTGGCATAGCCCATCTATGGTACATGATAAATACATTAGATCTATCGAAATCTAGACAACTGCAGATAGATACTCACAAAGTTGATCTCCACTGGCGGTCCTGTGATGTCCGCCCGACCCACGCCCACTTTGTAGGTGGCACTGGCCAATCCGCACAGTAAACTCAGGGCCAAAAGCGCCAAAAAAGCTATTTTGCTATTGGCCATCTTCGGGTTGTGGCACTTAACTTTGGTCTAAAAAAAAATCAAAGTAGTTAAATTGTCAGAAAAACATGTATACTCAAACAAGAGTTAAATAATATTTTGATCCATTTTTACCGGTCTCTATTTAATAAAGTTATTTGGTCTAATTATAAATTGGTTGATCTAACTTGTTCAGGAGTAGTCACCATACCAAAACCTAACCTTTCGTGTTTTAAAAATTTTGAAAATCATGTTAAATACCAGTAAGCTTATAATTACTGATCAAAATTTAACTACACAGCTCTGTGGCTGTAAATGAAAATCCACAATGTTTAACCACATTTTTCAGCAATTAGTAAGTAATAGACACAATCTTTGTCAAAGATCCATAAATGTTTATAGATTTTTAATGTGTTTAGATAAATAATTATAGCTCAACAATAAAATTGATGGGGCAAATTAGCAACAAATTAATAGGCTTGTGGTAAAGAGCCAATAAAATTAGCAGGACATAATTAACAGATTTCAATCTTTTGTTAATACTCTGTTAAGTTTATTGTTTTAAATTATTACTAACAGTTTATTGGAATATTTTTTTAAAAATATTTGAAAACACGATTGGTAGTAAAATCACTGTCTAACACTTCCGTTAAGGTTTGATTAATGACAAACCCGGGTTATTGTCACTTAAGTATCTGTAATCTTCTCGCTTTGTTATCATCTCTCTGCCAATTTAGAAACGCATAAATCAGACCCCTCCGTTCGTATTTGGCAATCCGCTTGATTATTGCAAATATCTGCAACAAAACGCGATGGTGACGAAAGCGATAATCGATTGACAGTTGGACAGTTGAATCCAAAATGATCCACCCGGCCCTCATCCATCAATTGGTTATAGATAAAGCGGACAAATGCAAATCCCCCGTGGTCGTTGGCAATCGCACTTCGAATGGGGCTGAGATTGCGGTATGACCTCCAGCAGTCCCATCGACAATGGCATCAACAATAACAATAACAATCCTAGCTATAATAACCATAATAATAACAATGCAAACAACCGACCCGCAGTTGTAAAATGGGGGATCTCTTATCAATATCAAAGCCCGTCTTCGAAACCGGTTTTTATCAGTTGCGAAACCAAAGCGGCTTCTTCAGTGGCTGGATGGTTACGACAGCTGCGGTCAAGATAATAGAACTACTGTGTACTCCTTCAATATGAAAAAAAAACATATGAATAAAACCCAATTTTTTAAAATTGTAAATTATAAAAATTATAATTAAATCTTAAATCAATTTCAGGTATCAATCAATTTGTTTAGTGCAACATCGTTTTTTTTTACGAATTGCTCTAAAACACAAATTATATTAAACACTTGTAGTATAAGAGATACTATCATGTTGACCGTCATAGTACATGATGAAACCAAAAGTAGTTGGGCTTTTCCACTCCCCCGCATTAGCACCACCTTTCCCTCCCCTCTTTTTTTTTTTTTTTACTATTTTTTCCGCTTGCTTTTGTTTCGATTTTAATGGTGAATCGACTTCTTTTGTATGCGCACTGTGTTCCATATAGAACTCTGTTTTTTTTCTGGTTTCCCTCAAAAGGCGTTAAGTAGGAAATCGAGTGGGTAATTGCCGTGCATGTAAAGCAGTGCCAGTGCCTCATCCACCTGACCACCCGACCCCTATTAGTCTATACACTTTGCATAATTTACACACCACGGGTTTGACATTGAAAACGAAAATTAAATAAATATGCTCGACGATAAAACAGCGACTATCAGCTGCAGGGCCATCGCACAAGATACAGATACAAATGGCCCGGCAAACACACGTATCTTTTGTGCGGATTTCGATTTCAGATACTTTTGCAATCGCCTGGAGGCTCAAAACTGTAACGCACACACTTACTTACACGCTTCACAAAAAGAGAGCAATCAAATTATATATAAAGATACTGCAAAAGTATCTCTTGGATACGGGCCGCCAAACGCTGATCGCCGGACAAACGCGCCAATTGAGCAAATTACAGAAGATTTCCTTTGATGGGCCTTTTATAAGATAAGTATATACAATATATGTGTATCTCTCACTGAGGTTACTTGCACTGATTTAGGGATGCTTGGACTTGTTTTTTGAGGGTTATGCAATGTGAACTCCTTTTTTTATGTTTAAAACTGGCACTGTATTCACTGCAACTGGCTTATTAACTCTGCCAGTGGCACTTATGGCTGAAACTTGGCTTGGGGCCTTAATTATAGTTTAAATAATTGATATAATTATTCTGCGCTTATCACACGCTTTTTATCCCCTCAATTAATGGATATTATGCAGCATTTGCAAGTGCAGTTCGGTGTTTGTCGATGCCAAAAACCGATTTCAAAACACGCTGGGCCCCACTTTTTTCGATTTATTTATCTTTCCACGAACGCGACAGTTTATTTTGTGTCCCCTCCCTCGGAACAACTACAAAACGAAACTATCTCGAAACAAAACGAGATCCGTGTATTGAGGCCCGTTTTGCGCCCAAGCTGGCACTCGACTGATCGAGCCAACCATTTCAGCTGGAAGCCAAACTCAATTTCAAACCGAACCCGAATCGGGGACTTCGGATCTCGGCGTTTGCATCTGTGAATGGGTTTTCGGGTCTTCGGTTCTCATTTTTTTTGTGCGCTTTGTGGGCGTACGTGCCATCCATCAGTCAGTTGGTCACTCGCTCAAGCGGTCAATCAAACTAGGTGTCTCTCAATCACTCGTCTTTTATACAAATTTATGTTTAAAACCACGACAAAAACTAACTTAACTAAATTAACAGAGATTTAAAACAAGGAATAGAGCACAAAAACTGAAGTGCAATCTTAAAATACAGAATTGACCATAATATATGATAAGATCATTCAGATATTATGGCTTAACTTATGATATCTGATAGGATCATTAAATACAAAGAATTACTTGCGCTACAATAAATTATTTATATCACAGCTAAGAAATCTATAATAGACTATTTTTTTAACAAAAATAAAGTAGAAAATCTGTAATGTTTACTTGAAACATAAATTTGCATTAGTTTTATAATTTCATTTTTGAGCAGCAACTGTGAAGGCTCTACTAATCTTCTTTAAACATCTCCTTGAAGTATGCCCAATATTCCCACCTGCACTGTTGGTTTTGCCCGATCTGCATGCTTTAAATAATCCACCGATAGCTTATCATATCGCCTCGTTAGTTTCCGCAGATCAGAGGCATAAGATTGGGCCTATTAGTGCAAATACACTTAAGTAAACAAGTGCGCACTTTGACCCCAGCAAACAAGACTTTTTCGCACTCGAAGTACACGATATTTGCACGGCTAATTGGCTGTTATTCGGTTCTATAATTTGTATTTGGCTTACCCCAGAAATAAGTTTTTCTGCCGACTTCTTTCAGGATCGACCCACGCGCTACTACTGAATGAGCCAAAGATTTTCCACAATCAATCCAGCTGAGGGGTCTTTAAAATAATAATTGATAAACACCAACTATCGCTGTGTATTGCCTAGATTAGCCGTGTTTTATTGATAGCGATACGGATTAGGAACGTGCAATTCGAATGGCAATATATAGTTTGCTTTCTAGAAATACAAATCTGCAACGTACTATTAGAAGGCTAAAATCTAAGATGGAGTTAATCCTGTATGATTTGTTGACCTTCAAACCCGAGCTTTATACATAAAGCTAAGCTAATAATAATCAATTATCTGTTCAATAGTACTAGAATTTTAGCTTACAATTTTATTTGTATGCCTGTCTGAGGCCTTTTACGACAATCAATAATAAACAAGCCTTTACTTTTGTTAAAATAACTGAACCATGTTTTGTCTTAATATTTTGGCACACGTGTAACCACAAAGACAATGCAAAAATGGAAACAAACAGCTGGAAACTTAAATTAATCTTTAGATTTCAGCAAATTTATTTAGATCGGAATCGAAGTAAAAGAATTAGTTACTGCACTTAGTTTTACAATTTCATTATATGTTTTTATAATAAAGTTTAAACAACAAAACACTGAATTGTGCAATTTGAGTTGTAGCGCATTAGAAAAATGTAATTAAAGACTTTACCTCTAGTGTAAAAGTTTAGATAAAGAGAGCACACAAATCATAAACAAAGCACTCAAATTAATATTTTGTTTTGTTTCACAAATTCAAGTAGTAACGTTCGCAAAAGCTTACCACATTCAAATTTCTGTTGGCATCGATAGTATCGATAAGCTATCGATGCTTGTTCCAGTCTATCGCGCACAGCTGACTGCTTGGGAGAACAGCTGTTTCAAAGAGGACGCCACCTGCGTAATTATGAGTAATTCTCCACGCAAAAAGATTGCGGAATAGCATTGAACTGACAACCAATTGTGCGTCCAATCGATGCGAGCAATAACCCAAGACAGTAGTTGAAGGACTCCCAGTAAAACAGGCAGCGGAAACCAGGACAAGGAGCTGGATCAGAAAGAGGAGCAACTGAAACCATGTCAAAGGCTGTGAGCATGAGTATGGGCGTAGTGGAGCCACAGGAGAGGATGAAGCACTTGTCGCACTGTGGCAATCTCATCGAGGTGGACAAGAACATGCCCGTAACGCGGTGAGTCCTTCGATTTAAAGCCTTTCCATGGCGAATTCCACCAAGGCTGCGACCTTGTGTGGCCAAGGACTTTTGGGTTCTCAGCTACTCATACCCGATGTCCTTGCAGGTACTATCGCTCTGGCACCGAGATGCTGCGCATGGCCAATGTTTACCTGCGGGAGGGCAACCACGAGAACGCCTTTATCCTCTACTTGCGCTACATGACCCTCTTCATCGAGAAGATCCGCCAGCATCCGGATTATGGTAGTGTCAAGGCCGAAGTGCGGGACATCAACAGGAAGATCAAGGACGAAATCATGCCCACGACGGAGAAGCTGCGCGCCAAGCTGCTGACCCACTACCAAAGAGAGTACGAGCAGTTCCTGGCCAGCAAGGAGGCGGAACGGGTCAGGGAGCTAGAGAGAGATCGAGAGCGGGAAAAAGAACGCCAGCGACAGAAGGAAAGGGAGAGGGCCGGAGGAGCTGGTGTTGTGCCATCCCTCATACCGGCCAACCTGCATGTGCTCATCGACGAGGGCAACCAGCCATCGGCACCGGACTTGGACCTGCTCGACCAGGTTGTCTATCCCAATGACTTCCCCACAGGCGCCAATCGCAGCCTGCCGGGATCGGGACTCCTGTTGCCTGCTGCCAACGAAGCAGCCGCCGACAAGACAGCCAAGTGAGATTCAAAGAAGGGGTTTTAAACTAAGTATATAGACCAGTTTAGGTTAACAAAGAATTCCCCTGATCAGTCTAGTCATTCATAATATAGTCATATACTTTTAGTTAAAAACAAAATTGTCAGTCAATACTTACAGACTTACAACAACGTCAACAGAAAACTTTCTGACACCGCATTGTAATTGCAATTCTCTATAGTCATCATAACATTTGTAACTTGGATATTTATAAATTGCATTCCCCTGGTTTGAGGTTTGAAATAGGACACCTCAAACAACCATAAGAGCTAGACTGGCTTATCGAACGATCGTCAGCTATAAAACGATCCCACTTTGATTAAACTTGATAAGCATACTGATAGGCCCATTAAACTGATAGTTTCGTCAAACAGTTGGACTGAATTATCTTTTAACAGTGGCCTTATTAACCAAAGAAAGTATTTCCATATCTAAATATAATTAAACCAATTTTTATTTGTTCAGCTCCAAGCCAAGCTTCGATCGCAACCAGAAACCGTCATACAACCGTACGGATTCTCTGCTGGCGGGCTCTCTACGTCTGGTTCATGTTCCCGGTGATACGATGGAGGTGTTCCTAAAACTGGCTCTTGCCAACACCTCGAAAAATATTGAGACATGCGGAGTGTTAGCTGGACATCTTTCCCAGAATCAGTTGTACATCACGCACATCATCACGCCGCAACAGCAGGGAACTCCGGATAGCTGCAATACGATGCACGAGGAGCAGATATTCGATGTGCAGGATCAGATGCAGCTAATTACGCTGGGATGGATTCATGTGGGTATCAAGTGTCTTTATTGTGTCCTGTTTACTTATGAATATGATCCTCATTTTTAGACCCATCCCACGCAGACTGCGTTTTTGTCCTCTGTTGACCTGCATACGCATTGCTCCTATCAAATTATGATGCCCGAAGCATTGGCCATCGTGTGTGCCCCCAAGTACAACACGTGAGTCATTTATGAGTCATTTTGGATAGCACCGGCTTATCTAGTATTCATATCTTCCCCTAACAGCACTGGTTTCTTTATACTCACACCCCATTACGGGCTAGACTACATTGCCCAGTGTCGGCAGTCGAGTTTTCATCCGCATCCAAACGACCCGCCGCTTTTCATGGAGGCGCAGCACATCCGGATGGACAACCAGGCCAAGATCAAGGTCATAGATCTGCGCAGATAGTCACCAAAAATCTGAAGAATCAGCAATAGCTCCAATTTCGGGTGTTAAATGGTGATTAACCATGGAAATTACAGAGTTTTAGGCAGTTAGAAAAAGTAACTATTTTCGGCATACAGACATACAGAGAGAGATATGTATTTTTGCAAGCTGTTGATCCGCAATGATCGTCTACACATCACATTTAGCACTCGGCGGCATTTGTTGTTATTTATTGTGTTCCGGCCTATCCGTTGCATTATTTCACTTAAGAACCCTATGTGATTTTCAATTGTGGCTTACCCTTGCGTTCGTTACTAAATCTATATTTAATATGTTAGGCAGTTGTCGGGGAATCCCAGGAACTCACACGCCCACACACACACGGACACAGGCACACACACACATTCAGCTTTCAGTGCAAACTATTCGGGCCGCTCCAAAAAGGAGTCGTGTCCTTCTACGGCTTACTACTTGCAATAACCTGTTGTTCAAAGACGAATCATCATAAAATGCTATTATTAAACTGTGCATGCTTACCTATTGTACTAAAACAAATAAATATTTATGACTACTGGTTTATGGTTGACCATATTTTTCATTTTAATGGTTACTGCTAAAAACAATTTGGATTTGGGCGGTTAAATCTAATCAGAGAAGTAAAAACTTGATTTCCATATATTCTTAGAATTATAGGTAAACTAAAACTGAAATTGCTTACTAGAATGGATTTTAAATATTGAAACTCTCGGCAGAAGATGGCGCTCCGATTTTCCGACCAGCTCAGCTGGGAAATTTCCCTTTTTACATTTTCCGCTGCACATGAACAGATAACAACATCGGTGAATCATTATTTTTAAACACATTTTCCTTATAAAAAAGTCTTTAATTAAATTAAGATGTAATAATTCCACATTTTAATAAACTTAATTTAGTTTATTACATACCTCTGCGGATGGGATATTTAACATTTCCTTGATTCCTAACATTTCCCTCCACAACCACCTTTTGGACCCCTGTTAAACCATGTTTTCCATGTTGTCATCCAGTTTAGCGCGATTT